TGAGTCATGTGACTAAATCACTTCAAATTCTCTTGTTTTATAAAACTTCATCATTCGTTTTTTCCCCCGACACTACTGTTGATCCATTAAGATCATTATGCAACAAACTTAATGTAAAAATTCCCTCTGGAGATATATTTTCCGAGACTCTTGTCTACAGTGCAGCCATCAGGGGTTTCCCTGGTCGCCTTACACTTCCTGTCAGAGAGTAACCTGACTCCGGATCAGTCAGTCGGAGGCCGGGACAATGTGGCAGCAGAGGAGACTCAAAATACACGACAGCACATTAGACAGAGACGCAGTAATAATTAATAAGGCTGAGGTTTACTTTATATCGAACAACTGATCAAAGATTCATGAACACATTCTGGAGCACGGGACTACCAACCAAATGTAGGATATAAATTAAACATCCATCTGAATCAGCCTCCACAATAAAGGTGCAATGTGTGGAGTATTGACATGAATAACTTATTGTTTTTACACGCAGAGTTAACAAACTAACACAACTGACAGCCTCTGATGGCCTTTAACCTGTTATATATTACACAGGGTTGAGTAGTAACAGATAGCATGTATTCAAGGATTAGGTCATCAGATTACAACATGTAAACAACTTGTTTTAAATGTATGAATAAAAAATGTGCTTTGTAAAATACAAGTTGTACACCTGGAGTGTGTGCCTCTAGATTTTGTAAGTGATATTTAATTTGATCAACAGTAATGCTAGATATGCAAAAAGAAATATAAATCAAATATCAATATTTGTGAATGTTTGTGCCATATTTGAATTAGGTAGTATTAGGTGCAACATATTACAAATATTTGTGCGTTGATTGCAAATGAGCAAAAATATAGTTTGGAAAAGATGTAATGAAATTAATGTTTGTATTGATCGATCCACGGATGCAGCTTCAACACGTTTTCTTCCACTCCCCAAGATCTCAAAGTGACATTTAAAATATATATATATATATTCTAAAATAGCTAAAAAAAGTTTCGTAAATACAAAAAATGCATATATTGCGAAGTTGTACTTCAAAAGCTGACATTTTGTTGAATTTCTTAGATAAAGTGTTCCTCTCTTTGCGCCTTGGAAGTAGGTGCAGCTGTGCCAGTAACCAAGTTCTACTCCCCGTGAAACTGTTTTAAAATCACTTGTTGCCGACAGGTTTCCCTTTTCTTCTGTCTCTTAAGCAAATGAGTGCACGAAAAGAGAAACAGACACAAGTCAAATAAACAGACAACTAAAATCAAGACCACATACGCAGCTTATCTTTTCATTTTTCATTTGATCTAATCATTCTAATACAACAACATGGCCACCTGTAATAAAACTAAGTGGTGCTTGTGAAAATGTTTTTATTTTGTATTTGTGTGTACAACAACAGCTTGTATATCTAAGTTTGCTGTAGGCTTGTGGTGCATTTAAACTTTTTGTCCGACTTGCAGGCAACGTACTGTAAGGCAGTGAGCTCTTTCAAACTAATGAGTGTCAGAGTCTTTACCTGCGCTCTCTGTGCCTGCTGGGTCTGTGGCTCTGTCGAGGGATGGAGGTGCTCTGGCTGCTCCTCAGACATCCCATGACAGGGGAAGGGGGCAGAGCGGCACCCCGGGGGGCAGATTCCCCCTCGGCCTCATCAACAAGGGAGGAAGTAGAACCTCCCATGCTGCTGGCTCAGGAGGAAGCGCCCTGAAGGAGGAGGCAGAGGGAGAGTTTGAAGTGAGATCAATTATTCTGATAATGGAGTACAGAAATGTTTGCAACAAATAATGTAGAATATTCACAGAAAAGTGGTTGCTTTGTATTTGGATAATCAATAATGTAACTTTTCATGCAAAAATGTAAGAAAAATGCAAATCTCAAAATGGGGATTAACTGCTTTTCTCATTGTTGTATCATACTAAAGTAAATATGTGTGACAAAACAATACTTTTAGAGTGATCACCTTGGACATATTTCTCCTTTTTTGTGCACAAAACAACTAATCGATAAAACTAAAACATATTCAGCAGATTCATCGATAATGACAGTGATTAGATTTTGCAGCCCTAACTTGTTTTTACAGTCAGTAAATGTGACTCATAAAAGATGTCATGTGTAGACATGCAAGTAGCAAATATTTTCATTGTTGCTTAATTGGTTTAATTAATTAATTAATTAATTAATTAATTAGCTGCTTGAATTAGAAAAAAAAAGAAAATAGTAAATGACTGTTTCTTTTTGTCTTTATCTAAAAGATATTCAGTTTGCAGATGCGTGAATAAAGAAGACAAATATTGACATTTAGGAAACCAAAACCAAATAATTTTGACTTTAAAAAAAAAAGACTACTCAAACTGATTAGTTAATTATCAAAATAGTTGGTGATTATTTGAATAATTTAAAGACTAATCGATGAATCGACTAATGGTTGCAGCTCTTGCTTCCGCTCCCTCCCTGCTCACTCCACAGTTTTGTCCTTGAACAAGGACTTAAAATGTGTGTGATACCATCAGGAGCTCCAGCTTCAGATGTGTGTGTGTTACAGACTCACAGTTCAGAAGACAAATGTTCTCCATCAAAAATGTCCTGTATCATAATAAAGATACAATCTTAAAGCATTTGTCACATACTGTATATCTGGTTTTTCATGCATCTGCTTCTGCATGACTAAAATCAGTACATTAAAATGTAAGACTCAAAAGTTGAAAGTGAATAAATACTCTGTGTGGTTTGAAGAAAGCATGCAGGCTGAGTGAATCCCTCTGCACCTCAATGCAGATGCTTCCCTGCTGGTAGTGAAGTTCAAATAGACTTTAAGGTAACCTGGTGCACCTGCAGTACAGCTGGTGGCTGCGTGGGAAGCTGCAGAGCGGCCGGCAGGAGGACGCTGAGACACAAAGCAGCGCAGGGGAGAGTTAGTGAGACTTACCCGACTGCAGACAGGACACTCAGTGCACCAAGGAGAAGAATATTCCTGTCAGCTGCCTGAGATCTCCATGCATCCTCTTTCATTTAAGCCCGATGTGCACAGTCACCACTGTTCTCCTCTCACCATCATAGACAAGCCACTGGGAATAAAACACACTTCCTGTCACATCATTCACAATAAAGCTGCTTTTGACAGATACGGTTTGCAATGAATATAAATGCATGCTTTTGATAGGCAAACAAATAAAAATGTTCATGTGAAGTGCGATTCTGTCACGAACTCATCATATATATTTGTTGTGATCTTTTAAATATCATTTGGAAAATCAATTGATCTAGCTTGAAATATGTTCTTCTTTGCACTTTTACACTTCATATATGCTTTGTTGACTTTATGTTTTTAATTATTAATCAATTGTTTATGTTTTTATTTGATAATCTATTGTTTCTGTTGTTTTATTCTAATGTTATTCATTTTTGAACTATTTCTTAGCTATCAGCAACTCTTTTGATAATGTATTTACTATAACTTGTTTTACAAACAAAACTGGGAAAACGTTTTTGGTTCCAGCTTCTCAAGTGTAGATATTTGCAGTTGACATAATAGGGTCAATATAATATGACACATACAACATTTTGGGGTGCTGGTTGGACAAAACAAGCAAACTGTGGACATCTACATTGTACCTAACAATAATATTAAAAACTACAATATAAATGAATACAACATTCTCACTATTTTTCACACAGACAGACATGTGTTTATTGTTTAAGGTTCCCTCTGCTTCCGGTCCTCGCAGTGGCTGACTGTGGCTAGCTTCACTGTGCAGCTCTGAGCTCTCTCCCTTAGCCCGCCGCCGTGGAGAATTACCTTTGTTTCCCGGGACATCTGTAGGACGGAAAGGACACCGGGCAGCAGCAGCCGGGACGTATCGAAGATGAATATCTTCTTCCCACATTAAGTTCCAGCATAATGGAAGCTACATACCGAGACAGTCGGTTCAGTTACATTTCCCCACCAGACTCCATTATAAATATAGTAATATAATATTGCTTGATTTATACATGTGCGTACATTCTGTAAAACATAAATTAAAGTTTGTCTTAGGAATCATTGCTGCTTTCTTTTTAATTCGGCATAGAGATAACACACCAACCACTTCAAACACGTATAACAACATTAAGTAAATAATAGCAGCACTACTTAATTTCCAGGAAAATATCTTTCAACATTCCTAGGTTTTTAGCAATGACTATGGTTTAGTCTTTGAACTAACAATGTTCCTGTCAAATGGTAGGCTATACATCTCTGTTCGTCATACTGTACTTATTGGAAAACATATGTGTACATATCACAAAAGTGGTTGAGCAAAGTAGTTTGAGGTAGTTTATGAATGTTCTTACCTGCTCATTTTAGTTAACTTAGCATTATGAAGCTTAGTTGCTTTTGAACCCATTTAAAGTTGTTTCGATTCGGAAAACGTTGCTTCTTGTCGTAGTACATAGCCATTATTGTATTTAACCAATGTTTACACCAACAAATCTAAGTTATAGATTAAGTTTTCCTGGTTTGTGGCAGAAATAAACCGTTAATTGTTTGTCTACCATTTTGAAAGCCTATTTAACGTTCACGTTCAACAAGAAGTAGACAGGCGAGGGGAACCAATCAGATTCGACCAAATACAAAAAACTCTTTTTGAAATTAAAACATTTGTATTTTGCCATTTTCTTGTTGTTTTAAAAGTTGTTTCCCTTACATATGACTTTAAGAGTATATGAACGTCAAAAAATCAACAAAAAGACAGGCTGAATCATGCAAACAAATAGTAATGTACCCAAACGTCAAAGATCCACCTGGAACAACTATAAATACAACACAAATAAATGTTATTGAGGAACATTCATGTTACAGTAACATTTACTACAAGTTGATTTATTTAGTTTAATACCAAAATGTATCCCTTAAAATCGCATCTGTAAAACATGTGATTCAAATAAACAGGCTAAACAAAAATATCTTTTACATCAGAAGCAATATAATTTATCAAATCTCAATGTCAGAATAAACTTCAAATCTGAGTCAGTGTTTGATTGTTGAAACTTGAATTGAAGATACTTTAATAGAAAAAAAAGTTTTAATAGAAAACTGCAATGATTACTCTCAAACACAGGCAGAATAACATTTCTGAATGGAGGAAATATGGAGAGACAACTTCTATATTTTTATATCTAGAGGTTTTAAGAAAAGTCCTATTCATCAATATTTAAAAAGGTTTATCTTCTGTACAGTGGCCTTTTAAGGACATTACATTAATCGCCTGATCTTTACGTCATAACTGACGTGTTTTTAGTGTAGAGCAGCCTAGGATAAAGAACAATGTTTTCTGATGAACTAAAACATTCAACAGAATTTTAGTTGTGTGTTTAACAGCGTTCCCTGAAGGCACCACGGTGTCCCAGCTTCTTCTTCTTCTTCTTCTATGGTCATTTTCTCCAAACCTCCTCCCCAGAAATAAATGTGGCTTTGACGTTGAGGGTCTCATCGAGCAAAACCAGGTCTGCAAAAACAATAAATGGATTATCGTTTCCGTCTGTACGCTGCAGAGAGAATGATTCATCTTCCAGTAAATCCTCACCTGCGTCCGACCCAAAGTCCAGGTTTCCCTTCCTGTGGCTGAGACCCAGGAGTTGAGCGGGATGCAGCGAGGCAGCTTCCAGAGCCTCCTCTACACTGCAGCCTGGGCGTATAAGAAATTGAAAGAAGATTAGTTAAGTTAGCAAACAATTTGGTTATCTTTTAACAGTGAGACATATTAATCCCTGGGGAAATTGAGTTTTGTTACAGTTGCTCCATTTCAATTAAATCAAAAATAATTAATTTATTAAAATATGCAGACTGTACTGCAATATATAACAACAATAGATATGTAAACATATTAATATTCTAATATATACAATAGTGAAATAATATTGTTTCTGAAAATAAGATATATACAATTGTGTAAAAAGTGTTTAACGCTGAGTGGCACAATTAAGGTACGTACAAATATAGCTTGAAATATATATTCTAATGCAGTATTAATGCCAAAGTGGTATACATTTTACACAATTTAATTGTTTTTGCTGATATATCTATTTTTTTCTCTTTAATTTGTCTCTATTTTTGTATTACTTGAAATGTTGTCCAGAAGTTAGCTGTAGTATAGGTTATGCGTCAAGTATCAGTATCATTTTGTTTGTTGAACTATGTATTCTTTTAAATTGTCTTATTTATTGTTGGATAATAGCATGTTATTGGTTTTTCCATTTCCTCGAAAAGTACCTGCAGGATTCTTGATTGAATATTGAAAATAATGTTGATACTATAGAACGAAGATGTCCTGTCCAACCTCAATGTTATTTTGTGATCAATTGTCCTTATTTCTGGTTCTGACAAATCCTTTTTGGTGAGATATCTCAGTATTTTCTGGGAAAACAGAGATGTGTATAGATTTTCCAAAATGCGTAATCTCTTATTTGGTTGCATAAAAACTCACCTGAAGCATGTTTAAAGTGCCGCACACACATATCCATCGTGGCTATGCTGCCGCTGAGTGTCTTAGTGCCTATAACACAGAAAGATTTCAGAACATGTATTTATTTGATAATACATGTGTTGCCTCTCAGAAAATGTGTTACTTTTATTTTTCAAACCAAGATAGGAAGTAGAGACCTGCCACGTAGGCATGGAGACCCTGGATCTCGATGACCTGCTGACCCAGAGTGTGACGACCAGGGGGGAGCCCCATCGCTGTGATCGCATCCGTCACCAGCACCAGACCTGAGGGTCACAGACAAGAGGACGGGAGGTGATGTCAGGACAAGGGCAAACTCTTACTACCAAACACAACAACAACAACAACCATGATCTCTCTCTACTGCCTACTGGGCCAAAGAGGTTAGGGGCAAAAAGAGTTGCAGCATGACCTCCAAGATACAAAACAACCACAAAAAGATTCACAACTTCCACAAAAGAATGCAAAATGTCCACAAAGAGACACAACAAACCAAAAATAACTCGAGAGGCAAATCTTTGTTGACTGATAGAAACAAAAACAAAAAAATGCAAAACAATCAGAAAGAGATGCTTCACAAACCATAAGGAAACAACAACAATAATACATAGAAAATAACCAAAAAGAGAAAACATATCAGCACGAAGAGATGCAAATGTACCAAGAATAAATGCAAAACAACCAAAAACAATAGAACAATATCTACAAAGAGGTAAAAGGTACAACTAACTTAAACAGACACAAAACAACAACAAGACAAAACAAGACCACAAAGACATGCAAAATGACCAAAAGAGATGAGAAATAGCCAAAACTTCACTGAACCGACCTGAGGGGTGGGCTCTGTGTGCGATCCTCAGCGCTGCAGGGTTGGTGTGGATCCCGTCAGCGATCATGCCGTAGTAAACCGTCCGGCCTGCAGGGACCTGATCACTGGTCAGCAGACCCACGATACCAGGGTCCCTGTGGTGGAACTGCAGAGCAGACAGCAGGAATTCATGTGAGCAATGACATCAGGAGTGAAGGAAGTACTCAGATAGTCTAATGCAATAAAAGTACTTATACCACACTTATACCATATTCTCTTACAGTTGTATTGAAATGTTCCGTCAGTCATAGTTTAATCAAGAAGTATTAAAAGAAAAAAAATGTGCAAGGCTGTGACAAATGAAATGATTGTTTATGTAAATAACATAATATCACAACTAATTTGACTCAAGGGGTTACACAGGTCAACTAGACATAGATGACAGATCAAAACAGCCCGAAGTGACACCTTCACAAAGTACAGTAAAACAGAAACAAAGGGAAAGTCGCCCCACTGTGATGTAAAAAAAGATACTGTAAGTTATTTTATCAAGAAACTATCTTTAAATAATGACTTGTCATTTGTTGGACTCACAGGCAGCATGGCATTGAAGAGGTGGGTGATGAAGGAGGCTCCGTGTTGAACGGCCTCCTCCGCCTGAGACATGTTGGCCACAGAGTGACCTGCAGGAGCATTCTGTTAATAGAGCCAGAGGAGCTAAATGCAGCTAACAAAACTGCTTCATGTGTTTTTGATTTGTTTACATTTGCTAAGGACATGTGTAGCTTTTATTTACATTTTAAATGTTGGCTGTGTGACTTTTTATTTGTATTGCAAGTGTACCCTCAGTTTCTTTCAAATGTACATAATAAAGTTGTTTGTAATTTGAGGTGTAAAACACACCTTCTCAAAGCAGTATTTATCCTTGAGTTTTTTGGATGTGAGTAAACGCTGCTCACCTAATGACACCGTGATTCCCTTCTGGCAAAGATCCCTGATCACCGATTGGCTGCCGTCCAGCTCCGGAGCCAGTGTCACCATGGCAACGCTGTCCAGGCCGCCGTAGGTTTCCATCAGGTCCCTGAACCCGCCGCTACTGAAGGTCCTGAGAAACTGCTCCGGGTGAGCTCCTTTCTTCTCCAGGCTGATGAACGGGCCCTCCAGGTGAAATCCTGCAGACAGGAAATATACAATTATATTTATAAAAAAGATAGATACAGATAATACAATATTTTGAAGGGTATGTCTGCCAATGTTGGGGTATATCAAAACCTGATGTATCTCAGTACTGTCCTACTGACACAAATACTCTCGTGAAAAAATGTTGTTACATTTGCAGATAAGTAGAAAAGCAAAGATTCAGAAGTCCTAACATTTGGGAAAAGAAGGTTGTAATATTTAGAGTGGTTTTATTTCAACTCAATCCCACAAACACCGTCCTTTTGACACAAATACTCACTAGAGAAAAAAAGTCAAGCAAGGTGGAAAAGGACAATTATAATTAAAAAATGTTTTAAATGAATTTATTTGAAAACATTTATTATATTTTATTTTTATAATTCTAAAAGTTACCAGACATTTTGTGGGGGTAATTCAAGCTTTAAAATACTTTTTATGTAAAAATTGTTAAAAAATAAGTAATATTTCAAGAAAAAACAAGCTAATATTTAAGAATGAAATAGAAAGATAAAGAAAATCTTAATAATTCCTCCTTTTTGTTGATGAAGTTAAACAGAGCCACCGACAGGAAGCAAGACAATATTAAGAAGCAATAACAAATAGTTGGTTTTCATGGGAAGACAAAACAACATAAATATACAGAATATATCCAGACTAATCCTCTAACATGATTCTGTCAGATTACACTCACCAAGAACTCCAGCTCCATGCGCTCCTCCATCGTGAACTTTGACCTGAGGCAAAACCTGAAACACATTTTGAGTAAGATTCTATTTTGTAGAAATACAAATGTATTTCAGTCCTCATTGGAAATCCAAAACAATGCACATGTTAATATGTTTATAAATAAATAACATGAGGCATTTAATTTGTAAAAGATATCTTATTACAATTATCTAGTCTGATATTGCAAATGTGATATGATCCACAATATTGTAGGGAATTATACTTTTTGTATAAATATTCTTATTCTTTATATATAAAAAATAAAATATATGAAAATTTAAAAAATATATGAAAATAATTATGGTGTGATTTTCGCTTTTAAGCATCTCTTACGATTTGGATTTTGCAGTAATCAATATTGTGAAATGAATTCATTCTTATTGATTGCAAATAGTTTGGTGCTTGATATACAAACAATGCAGGACCTATACTGGCTATCCCTCCTCTGGTTCCTGAAGTGGAATAAAGATTGAAAGCTGGTTATAAGTGTTACCTTGTGGTAGACGTGGGGGGGCGAGGTGACCAGCGTGGGGCAGAAGGACGTCACGCCATGCTCCAGGATCTTTTTGGCCACTAAAGAAACTCCGCTGCCGGCATCGTCGCAGGCCTGAGAGAAATCGATCCCGTATCCTCCTGCAGAGGAAATGACATGTTTCATCTGAATAATCTCCAAAAGGAAGATTCTCATGGTTTGCTCATTAAGCTTCAGAGTGTTTGTTTGCAGTTAAGAATGAGTTGCAGGTTCAGTTTTTAGTTAGGGGACCAAATTAAAAAAACATTTGCGATCTCTCTCTTTTGTTTAACCTTTTTCTTTTAAATCACAGATGAATAGAGTGGCACAGTGACGCGTCCTAAAACCCGGAAGTAAGTTAGCATTTTACCACTTCCGGTTCCTTCGACAAAAACCAATGCAATTTCTCCATAGGATTTTGGAAAATTGCTGGAAATAAGGTCTGTGGTTGAGACACATTGAAGAGACAGATCACGTTTTGTTCAGCCGGATAATCTCCACATGTCTATCCTACTTTTATAATTTACCATTGATCTGAACGTCTATAAAGCCCGGGGCGATGATGCTGCCTTCACAGTCCACACACTTGTCGGCGTAACCGTGCTCATCGAAGAAAAGTTTCTCTGGATCTAAAATCTTTCCGTCACGCACCCACAGGTCCTCTCTGCATGAAAACACACACACACACACAGGTACTTCAATAAAGTATTTCCATTTTAAAATACATTTAAAACATGTACTTTTTACTCCATTAGATTTATAGATTACAGTTTTTATATAGCTTATGTAGAGCAGGTAAGATACATGTACAGTAAGAAAACATCAGGATGTAGCGTTCCTTTATGAAGAACATGTTCCCTCCTCTAGACTAAATATTGTCTTTAAAAGAACTCTTGGATCAGCTGGAATATGTATTGTCACAAAAGCCAAGAATAGTTGAGTTTCTAGAGATATGTGGTTCTCATTGGATTGGACAGTGAAAACGCTACAAGAATATGATGATCCTGTAGATTATAGTGCTGCAGATTAAACTAAAATGCAACATAATGCAGCAGTAATAATACATCAGAAACATCATTTATAATAGTGTAGTGTGTGTGTGTGTGTGTGTGTGTGTGTGTGTGTGTGTGTGTGTGTGTGTGTGTGTGTGTGTGTGTGTGTGTGTGTGTGTGTGTGTGTGTGTGTGTGTGTGTGTGTTTACCTCTGCAGACAGTGGTCTCTCAATATCCTGCAGTTGATGAACTGACTGATGGGAGCATCGGACACTGATTTGTTGGATGGCATTTTTTTGAGTGGAGTGGATAAGCTTCCTCTGACTGAGAAACACAGCAGAATAAATCAAACACTCCTCTTTGGGTGCATAATGTCATTAAATGTAACACGTAATGACAACAACACATTTGAAAATCAAAGTTCCCAAAGATCCCACCTTAAAAAACAAACATGGAAATTAGGGCTGCAACTAACAGTTATATTAATTTCAGGACATAACCTAAACCCCTGCACCTTAAATAGTGGTTGCTGCCAATGAATCCACATTTTTTAGATAATTTAACAGATGCCTTTTTGAAAGTGTGTGTTGACTTGTAACCCTTTTGATAATTACCATCTGAAAGACATGTCTCAATCACTTTATCTGATGCTGCACCAGTATTAAATCATATCTCAAATCTTATCAGTGTAGGTGCAGCAGTTGACTTTGACCTCTGGTCTGCTTGTTGCTACAATAACTGTCTGGCTCTGGTTCTCTGGGGGGAAATGCACAACACCAAACTCCATGCAAATAAATAGTAAATTAAAGCTTTTGATAACTCTGACCTACTTTACATACCTTGAGAGACAAAGACGTAAAATGTCAACACTTGGAAGAGTCCAGTAGTCAACTCGGCATACACTAAATGTTTAATTCAACACGTCCTCCAGTCAAATATGAACTTCTTCTACCGCCACAGTCGCTCTGCTTCCACACAAATACAGGAGATAGCTACGTTAAAACCCCATATTTTATAACCGAGTTCGTTGACAGTACATTCCGTATTTCCCTTCAGATATTTTGACTTTAGCAGGCAAAACTTAAACGAACTGTTGTTTTACAGTGTTAAAGTACTTATCTAGAGTTGGTACCTGCCCCAGCCAGGAGCGTGTTCAGCTGATTCTGTGGAATAGAAACAGGGGAAACGGATGTCATGTGACGAAACGGAGCTGCAGGTCAGCTGATCAAAAAAAACAAAAAACTGTCCCTGCAGTTTGATCATTTGAATCCTGCTGAATACTGTATTGCGACCTAAGATTCCGACACTATACTTCAGTACAAATACATTAATGCAGTTGTATTGTGGCATTCCTTCATTTAAAACCACAAGTTTGATATTTTTCAAAATACATTTGAGAAATTACTGCAAAAATAAATAAATATGCAAAATTATATTAACTGTATTCACACAAAGGAATAGCTATGCAGTGTGTGTGTGTGTGTGTGTGTGTGTGTGTGTGTGTGTGTGTGTGTGTGTGTGTGTGTGTGTGTGTGTGTGTGTGTGTGTGTGGGTGGGTGGGTGGGTGGATGTGCGTGCGTGCGTGCGTGTGTGTGTGTGTGTGTGTGTGTATACATGCTCAGAAACTAAAGGCACGCGTAGACACCAGGTGGAGCTCAAACACAACACTAGTTCTTTCCCGAAATACAGAAACCTCACTTGACTTCTCTTCTAAAACCCTTTGTCAGTGCCATGAGTTCTGTATATATATATGCATTAGTACATGATGCTTTTGAAGCAGCATCATGTATGTCTATAGCTACCTCTGTTATTCATATCTTAAAGTCTAAAATGTTGTTTTGTTCTGATTACATCCTTTATGGAAAGCCAATTCTCTGCAGGTTAAACACGTTCGGCTTTTGATACATTACTGATAATCTTTACTTGAGTTTACTACATTAAAAATGTAGGACTTTAACTTGTTATTTTGGCTGCTACTAACGACTGTTTTCATTATTGATTTACCTACAAATTGTGTCATAGATGTATCATTTACAGTGTACAAAATGTTAGAAAAAAGTAAATACAAGTCTACCCCAGTAACTCAAAGCCCAAGGTGATGTTTTTAAATGTCTTATTTTTTGGTCCAAAACCCAAAGATATTTGCTTTAATATGAAAAAAGAGCAGCAAATATATAACAATTAAAGGCAGTCCTGCATGAGTTACTTCAACGATTGAAGAAGAGCTTTCTTTTCTGTGAATCTACTAATGTTTGCAGCACAGTGTGACTCATGAAGCTTTGACTGCAGCTTGTACTTGTAATTAAGTACTTTTACAGTCATCTTTTTATACTTTTAATAAAGAAATCCTTCTAACCCGACAGCAGGGAAATGTACAGTGTTAAAACAGCAAAGGCTTACACATTAAATACATATAGTAAATTCAGAAGCTTGGTTAAATGAAGTAGCAGCATCATAAAAGTAAGTGAACTAGTTGGCAGAAATAAACAGTACAGTATATATTACAGTCAGTAATAAAGTATTTCTACATCAAAGTATTTGTCCTTTGATCTCAGTAAAGTACTGCTGCCACACTGTACGTTTGCACACAGTGCAGGTGCATGACCACTTACCGTCCCACCTGATGTGAGGTTAGCAGGACAATGAAGTTAACCCTCTGCAGGATATCTTCACTCTACCAGGAAGTAGCACCAACCTCTGTCTGCAGCCCTACCCCCCCCCCTCCCCTTGCAGCAACCCCCTCCCCATTCCTGAAAGTCAACAATAAACTATGTTTCCAGTAAGCCGGATACCTCCCGAAGGCCTGCTCATCCCCATGGAGACCACTACGAGGGTCCGCAGGCCTGCGTCCCCTGGCCAAACCCGGCCACCCAGGTGGGAGCAGCTATGGAGAACTCACATATAAGTAAATACATATACAAGTAGTAGTACAATAATGCTGCTGCAGCTGATCTATAGTCTGGAGTCCTCACTAGCACTAAGAAAGTGGATCACTCCAGCTCTGAGGTCTTTACTCTGACTTCCTTTCTGCCAATACTTGTTACTTCAGAAATGTTGATTATCTTAAAACACTAAAGGGTTAAGGGCCATGATATGTTTCCTATCTTCTGCTACATTACGAACCATGTAGCTCAAATTTCCCTCTTCTTTATAACCACTGATATCAGGTAGCATAAAGAGGAAAGACTCGAGAAGGTACAAGTACCTTAAATGTGTCTTTAATAGAGACCTTGAGTAAATGTACTTTATTACTTTAAAACACTGGAAGAGAAGGACAGTTATATTTCCTCCAGTATGGATCAGAAAAATCTCCTCAAAGCGTCTCTGCATGGACATAAAGAGCATTCTTGGCCGGTGAGTATTTGCGAGGAGAACCAGGACTGGTATAATATATTTTACGGTCTCCGTGTCCTCCTCTTTTGTGGGCCGTGACGTCAGTGTTCCCCTCAGTGACACAGTAGCTTTGTTTTGGAGTCTCCACATCTCATTCACGGCCGCTTAGCTCAGAGTCCGGGGTCTGCGCAGTGGCCTTTCAGCATCCCGACTCCTTAATCCTACAGTTTTTTAAGACACTGAATAAGCAGCCGTTTGTGTGCTAGGTTTAGGGGCGGCGGAGTGCTTCTTGTTACGCCCAGGCCTAGGGGAACCTCGGCGCAGCACAAATAGCCCTCTCCCCACTCTTCCCACTCCCAAGAAATGGTCAATGACACAGGAACATGCGTTTGGTCATTTTAATTACCTGTTTAACGGGAAATGTCGACTTGCAAAACAATTGCTGAGGACAGAGAGGGGACGATTGCTGGCAAGGTCATGGTGAAAGGTGACACTGCTCACATTTGGAGTTGGAACACAAACAACAATATGAGTTTCTTCTGTGTTCTTCTTATATGATTTTAAACTGAACATTTTTGAGATTTAAATTTGTTGTTTTCAGCTCACATTTCCTGACATTTTAGAGACAAGGTTTGGACAGGATAATAAACGGGCCTATTGGCCCCATCCTGCGGTACGTGGCCAACAGGTGCAACCGCTTTTAAACGGGTCAGAACACTTACATTAGGAGAAACACGCTGCAGTTTCACAGTTTGACACAATTGTGCCAAAACTAATGCAAAGGAAGAAACATCCTCACCAACTTCACAACACATGCAAAGCATTTAGAAAACATTCTCTAACTTGACGAAACATGTGCAGCATTTACTAAAAGCACCACGTAAACAAAAGAGATTTGCATTTGCGTGCTTGTACCTGTCAGCCACCGTACTCAGGGGCCCAACAGGTGAGAGACCCTGTTTGAGGTAACTGCTCAAATGTCCTAGATGGAAGTTACAAATAGACACAAAATGATCACAAATAGACCAAAACTAAATATAACAAAAACACATAATATGATCACAAAGACACGCAAAACCAAGAGACACTGAATGTTTAAAAAAATATGCTAAATAACAAAAAAGGGAAACAAAAAGACCAAAAAGACACACACTACAACCAAAGAGAAAAGAACACAAACGGATGTAAGACCTACAAAAAATTGAAATACAAAAAATTGAAAATGAAGAAAGTATCTATATATAAATAATAACACAAATAGGAACCAAATATAAAAAAGAATATATATAACTTCTCTACATGTATACATATATATATATATATATATATATATATATATATATATATATATATATATATATATATATATATATATGTATACATGTAGAGAAGTTAAAGTTTAGATGTGGACATTTGAGGTCAAAGTCATCCAGATGATCTCCACCTCTCCTCCTCAGCGACACCGTCACATCCTGTGAGATCTGACGGGAATTGGATTGTTTGCAAACAGACGTGGAGGGCTGGAAATAAAAGTGAAATCCATTAGCAAACAAAGCCCCAGTGAAGCGGCTTCACACTCACTAATCTGCTCAATCTGTTGTCGTTTGTCCTCAATGACCAGCGCCCCCCCCCCCCCCCCCCCCCCCTCTCATCCACGTCCTCCTCCTGGTTTAGATGTCTGAGGTAAGAGAACCACAGCACAGACAGTTTCCATATTCATATACTAACAGGGCCTAAAGAGAGTCAGTGAAATGATTACATGAGACAAAGTCAAGCAGGACCACATTTAAAGGATTCTCTAATTATTAAAAACAATTGTTACCAACAACTTTTTGCTGGTGGTTGACACTTGATTAATTGATCATTAGTTAAAATGTACCTTTAAATAGTATTAATTATTTGCATGATTTATTTTCCTTTTTTTAGTTGTGCTGGTGTACATTTCTTTCTATTGTATCTGTATTTGTTTCTGCTTTTGTGCTGCAACACCTGCTTCCCTATGGACATGTTCCATTCATGGGATTTAAATGTTTTTTTTATTTGACCTTAGTTCATCTTTTTTTCCTAATTCTTAAATATTTGTCATTCTTTTATGTTATGTTATTAATTTTATCTTTTCATTATTTATCTTCATTTTAATTGACCTTAATCTATAATAATAATAAAGCTTTTATTTGATCTCTTAATCTTATTTTATAATCTTGTAATTGTATTTAATGTTAATCATATTTTATTTAAATTTAAACGTCATGTTTTATTATATTTATTTTCTTTTTTAATTGTATCTTAATCTAATCTTATTTTATCTCGATTTTATTTCATTAAATGTCATTTATTTTATTTATTTGAATTTTCTTCATCATAAAAATCCAAGTAATTAATGTATATTAGTCATATAATTAAACGTGATGTGACTTCATGTTCAGTCTGCAGCAGCATGTATTATTGTTCTAGAAAGCTCTGCATCTCCTGGAAGGGGAGTTTACAAGAAGTAAAGGGGGAAGAGGATAGAGGAGGGGGGGGGGGAGTATCTCCTTCTTCTCCTTTCCCTTTCTTCACCTCACATCCTCCCCCCATCACCCCTCCACCCTCAGCAGCTCAGGCCTATTTGCATTCCTCTCAGTTAATAAGTGTTTGTCTGATCCCTGGCGGGGGGTGTAAAGATCACCCCACACAAACACCTCCTCCTCCCACCTGACTCACCCAGCTGTAAAGACAACAGGAGTGATGCTGCGAGGAACAGAGGGGGAGGAGGGGGGAAGGCGTCATACACGCTGCTCAGCCATTCACTTTATAACAACCAGCAGGCTGCAACATTACATTCAGTACTGTGGACAATCCC